ATTCATATTCATATTCATATTCATATTCATATTCATATTCATATTCACATTCATATTCATATTCATATTCATATTCATATTCATATTCATATTCATATAAATATTCATACTGTTATCCATATTAATATTTATTCTCGTATTTATTCTGGTATAAGTAATTTGATTTGTATTTGCACTCGTATTCGTATTTATATTCGTACTCGGGGTTTTCTTCGTACCGGCACTGTGCGATTCCGTGGGATCATCTGTTGCGTTAATGGGGAAACTTCAACAGATTTTAGAGCGGAGCTTGCAAATGATGAAGTTTTCCGGTCTCCATGCGCAAAAGGAAACCCAAAGTTCAAATTTGGGGTTAGTGAATGAACTAGGTCGTATCAAAAAACCACTGAAACCCCTGACTTTATACTGCCTAAAGGTATGCTACCATATTACTGGCAGAGATAAAATCCGATATGTTCGTCATTCATACAATTTTATTTTTTTTTTCAAATTAAAACACTGTGCGCTTCAATATTTTCTAAGCATTTCATGCGTTCGAATCTTCGTAAAGTGGAATTTGCAAATTTGAATTGCACGGTGTCGCTGGTGACAAATGGATTAGTGCTCCCACCTTAACGATTCCATATTCAAAAAGCAAGTGCGTGTATGGGTGTAGTGTACGTGTGTGTGGTTGTGTGTGCTTGCTATGCATTTCATTCTTGTCATTTCAATTACTAACAGTTAGCTGATTCTTGCGCATCACAAATTTCAAATGTTGTATTGCTTAACTCAACTCGCACAATGTGTTTTGGTGGTTTAAGTGTGTGGGCGTATTTTGTGTAGAAAAAAACAAAAACAAAACACGCACATACAAGAAAACAAGCAACCTGACATGAATCATTACATAAAAATTGCCTGCAAACTACAAATGATGGAAAATGTAGTTGAATTTTCGACTATTTTAGCATTTTTAGTTTTGTTTTTCCAACTAACCGACTTGCTAGAACAAAAATGCTTTACATTCTTAATAAAACACAGATTTTTTAGGTTTTTTGTTTAACTAAAAATCTATAATAAACGCATTTGACGCAGAAATATTATCATTGTACTAAACAAAAAGCAAGCATTTAAAATCGACCCCAAAATACAAAAAATATTTTCAAAACTAAAACGAAATCGTATAGAATTTTCAAAAGTAGCCTATCAGAACAACTTAGATCAAAAATATAGTTTTAAAAGATGCAGCGAATAGTGTGTGTGACTTTTTTTTGAATGGGCGCCTAATTTACGTGTACTTAGTCTTGAGTAGATAAATGGTAGACAACGTATGTATGCATGTATGTAAATACTTATTTTAAATGCAATAGATGATGAAATTGTTAGCCTCATTGCTTTTAATTCAGATACACGCAATATTTATTCCTATGAAATGTTTTTTTTTTTTTTTTTTGTTATAGAAGTGACTTATTTATGGCATACTTTTGGGGCTGGTACTGGTCTTATACGAAATGACGAAAATTTAAAAGCTTCATTTAAGATATTTATTAGATACATAGTTATAAAGCTTCGAAAGCTCTGCCTTACAAAATTTACACACGACAAAAAAAGCTCTGCCTGCAGGTTTTTTATTTTTTGGTAGTTAGTGGTTTAGATCAGCGATGGGCAGAGACAGCTTTTACTTTGCACGCGCTTATATAAATAGTATAGAGAGCTTAAAAGAGTTTTGCCCCGGGGACAAGGCAGTGCCCATGACCGGTTTAGATCGTAAGTAGTTACACTTCATAGGAACGCGCGTAAGTGCTTTCCAAGGTTTATAAAGATATGTTTATACATATAGACTGCTGTACATGTGTATGTGAAAAGCTCTCTTCGATCGTAGAATATGCAAAGCTATAATAGCTCTTTCTTACAAAATTAAAAAAAAGTTTTGAAAGCGGGCTTTGTGCCATACCTTTTAAAAGCTCTCTAAACTTTATAAACGGATGGTACAAAATAAAAGCTTTCAATTGCCGGCTAGCCAACACTAGTCTAGATATGCATTTAAGACAGCCAAGATCAAAACAGAACCTGCTGGAGCTTTTCAAAGCTTTCTATAGGTTTTATATGGACGCGAGCAGAGTTAAGTCTCACTATAGTAGCTAGTCACTGATTTAAGATTAGGGATGAAATAAAATTAAAACCAATAAACTTTTATCTATTTTATCGAGTTGTAGACCCCTAAAATTATGCAAGTTTTAATAAAATTATTTGTATTGGGTTCTTGCATTGACAAATTTGTGAGAGCTTTACTAGCGCCAAAACTAGCGTAAACTATTCAGTGAATTTAGGTGCAGCAAATAGAACGGAAAAAGCAAGAGAGCTAGGTGAAAACTTAAGCTAACTGCCGAAGCGCAAATCGAATTGATTTAAATTGCATTTCCATTTTCTTGCCCACGCCCAAAAGTATACCTTAATTGTAGTTTAAGATTACACTTGTTATTAAAATTATGCCTTCAATAATTCGTTTAGCGAATTACTATTCTATTAAATTTATCCAAATAAACACATATAAAATTGTATATTGTATCTGAGAATGTTGATCATACGGATACATAGGTATGTTTGTTATCAATATTGGAACAAAACAATTGCCACTTACCGAATCTAGTGTCGTGTCAATGTTGCCATTGGGTCGATCGGCCAATGTCGTCTCCTTCAAATTGATCTTAACATGATTGGCAGCCGATGTGGTGGCGCCGCCACGTTGCGGTTTCGTTGCATCGAGCAGTACCTTGAGCGAGGCGATCGCATGCAGTTGGGTCGCCTTCTCGTCCACCTTGCCTGGAACATCATCTTTGTCATTGTCATTGTGTGCATTTGTTTTTTTTTTTTTTTGATTTTTTTATTATTGATTTATTGATTTATTGATTAATTGTTGTGTGCATTTTGAATTGCAATTTGATTTTTAAAATATTTAAAAAAGTTTGTTTCGTGTTTAATTTGGTTGTGGATGTTTTTTTTTGAATTTATTTAAAATTTGTATTGCATTTAGCATTCGAATTTGAAAAAAAATTTGCAATTTTTTTTGTAAGTAATTCAATATAAAAATATATTTAAATTTATTTGCATTGCAATTGCGTGATTGTTGGCATATGAGCATTGGTATTGGCATTGATTTTAATTTTGCATAGAATTTTGTTTGCAGATGCATTTGTTTGGTTTATTTTTGTACGAGAATTTACGTTTGTGATGCGGTACGGAACGATTTTGCAATTGACGATTGTTTGGAGATTGTTTGTGTATATTTTTGATATATTTTTTTTTAAATTTATTTGATAAAATTCAAAATTCGATTTCGATACGATTTTCGATTGGTAGCAATTCGATTCGATCATTTTGATTGGGTTCAATTTATTTTATTTTTTGAGTAAACGGAAAAATCCAAGTAGAAAAAAATTTAAAAAAAGGAGAAAAAAAGAAAAAAATATATCGATTAAAAATCGAAAAACGAATTGAGTGCAAATTGAGTTTATTATTTTTAGTTTTACACAATTTTCTTTAATAAATAATTTTAACAATTTATTATACAATTGAATTTAGTAATTGATATTAATATAATACAATATTTTTACTATTCAATCAATTACTCAATCGATTAATCATTGAATTAATTAACATTTAAAGAATTTTGAAACAGAAAAAGTTGCATTTATAGACTTTCATTGTTTCAATCGATTAATTCATTCAATAACTTTGTGTTTGTTAACTAATCAGTTATGGAGAGAGTTAGAGAGAGAGGGAGAGAGAGATTTAAATACAGAGAGAGGGAGCCAGATAGCGGGCGAGCTAATTAGAGAGATAGAGCTTCTAATGCAAGCAGCACAAGGAAGAGCAAGAGCGCTAGAGTAAACAATGCAAAAGTAGAATAAGAGCAAGAAAAAAACGCCGCTAATTGGCTTAACATTGCCTTAACATTTCTAACTAAAGTGAGCTACATAAATAACAGGGAAATTTTGTGGGAAAGGCAGAGGTACGTGGCGAGTAAGTCATAGGTTTATGGGCGCGATAGTATTGTAGAAGGAAAGCGAGTGGTAAATTGCGTGGAGGGATAAAGAGAATATTGGGGGATGAAGGGTTCTATTAGATTTAAGAGCAGGCGTTAGTAGCCAGAGATATTACATAAATAAATTAGTGCTAAGTAAATCAGCTACGCAAATATTTAACTACACAAAAAGTTGATTAAACACAACTCAAATGAGGTAGCGGGGTTGGGAAAATAGAGAGCGCGAGAGCGACTGCGCGCCGAAAGATATAAAAGGAGGAGGGTAGTATTTAGGAGCTAAGACAGCTTGAAAGTAAGTTAGAGAGAGAGAGAGAGCGAGAGAAAAAGAGCAAACTGAATGCTTAGCGCCAGAAGAACAAACTTTTTTTACACTGAATAAAAACTATATTGAATCTATGGAAATTTTTGATACGCTTCTGTCGAGGATTACGCTTTGGTCGTGACTCGCATATATAGGTCACTAAGGCCCAGAGCGCTGTTATCTGGTGCGCGGCAATATAAAAATGTAAAAACGTTTGCTGAAAAGTTTATTCTCGCGGTATATGCTTTTGCCCCGCCTGAGGAAGTTTAAGAACGCTCAACCTGCACACTTTTCTTTTTAGCCGACTTCAAAAATAGGAGAAGGTTAACAATCCGTCGGAATATTTTTTTTTATGTATGTATGTTCTTTTTCTATCGGAAATTAGTGACTCCGAGGTGGTTCCATACTAATTTGGTTTAGATCGGCTCAATTGATCATAAAGAAAGTAACGGTACTCCTAAATATTTATATGAGAATTGAAGTTGGTTGTGTTTTTTGCTTAAAAATTACTTGTTCGCATCCCTGGCTTATAGCAGCGACGATAAGAGAGAACTTTGATTTTGAAGTCACTCTTTTATAGCAGTGATGGACATGGCCTTACATGCTCTTAAAGCTTCTTTTAAGCTTTTGTATACATTTTATATGTCACAGTGACGACCAGAGAGAGAGAGAGCGCGTTGATACCGTCACCATCGAATAAAATCTCACATCCATATAAAATCAAAAGAAAGCTTCTCTCGCGGAACACGTTTTGGCCGTTACTGGCCTTTGTATGGCAGTGATGTTTCGATAAAGCTTTTATATTTTTTCGCGGCTATATAAAACTTGTAGAAAGCTTTCAAAAGCTTATTAATGTGGAATATGTTTTTGTTGTGACTGATCTAAATATATAATACTTTAATAGCTCGGGCTGTATACGTTTATTTTTTACGTCAGTAGTCATAGCTGCGAATACCAGAGAGAGCTTTTTACCTGCTTGAAAGCTTGAAAAAGCTCTGAATTAATAGTGATAGATACTACCTTACATGCGGGAAAAGATTCATATATACATACATATTATATGTAGTAACGACGAACGGAGTAAATGGTCCAAATTATCATATCGAAGACATATGTTGTCACATATGTATGTTCATATTCGTTGGATGCGTACAGAGCTTTTTTGAGGTTCATAAACATTTTATATATATAATCAACGAAACGCAGCTTAAGAGCAGAGCTTTGTAAAGCTTTATTTAGATTTTATATGAAAGTTTATATGGCGAAAGCTCAGTTGTAGAGGTGTAAAGGCTCCTATTTCTTCACTCATTTCGTGTTATCAATTTTTTTTAGATAATTTAAAAAGCTCAGTTTGTGTTTCACATACGCATGGATGTTGTTAGTGATTTATTTATTGTACGCATGCAGTCTTGACCAAAATGTAGTCCAAGGACAGAGATTTTGTAAGCTGCCCTTAGATTTTATAAGCACAGCGATCATACTGCGAAAGCCCTGATGTAGAAGCGCAATGGCGCCTATTTCCAGTAGAGCTTTTTAGTTACAGCCAATATTAAAACGATTTGATTTAAGGACTTTCTATTTACAGGCAAATTTTTGGCACGCATATTTTAAAATTATAATTTATTTTAATTTTAAAAATTTTTCTTGCGCTTAAATTTCTGTTTTGTTTGGCTCTCATTCTCTCTTGACTCGATACTGTACTCACCTTGAGTACAAGAAGGGTAGGTAGCTACATAAAAAAAAATTGCAAAGCTGTTGTTTAGCTTTTGTTGCGCTACCCACTAAATAACTACATGCTACTAAATTCACTAATTAAAAAGTACTAATACTAGTTGTAGTAACTAGTAGAAAAATTGGTATACTACGGTTTTTTGTTTTCGGTTTTGTTTTCATATTTACCACGCCACGGCCAAACTTTAGATTTTCGCTTTTCATTTCTTGTATTGTTTGTATGTATGTAAGTGTATTTGTGTCTGTGTGAGCTTTTTGCGATGTGTATGTGCGCGCATGAGAGTGAGTGCGTGTTTTCCTCAGTGTTGGTTAGTCTACTTTTCAGCGCAACTTTCACTGATTTCGTGTTTTGCTGCCGGATTGAATGTGGGAGTGGGGAGATTTGTTTTCGTTCTTTTTTTTTTTTGCTTTTTTGGTGGAATTAAGGAGTGGGTTTTTGTGTTTTGTTGTTGTTTTATGTGTTTTTTTTCTTGTATATAGTTTAAGTTAAATTCAATAGCTTGTGTTCATTTGTGTTTGTATGAATGAATGAAAAGATAATGCTTTGCATTTGCTGGCATTTCTATTTGATTTAATTTTTTTTTAGAAATTCTTTATACTCAGCCTTATTTTTTTGGCGAAAGCTAAGGACACACTACGGGAAATGTGACATTTAAAGGATGGATTGCTATGGGTTGGAGGATTAAATTGCTAAGTTGGTGGCATTAAATATAATTTAAGTGAGTAACGCATTGCTTCATGGAAATTTTGCTGCTTTAAGGTGGCGTGTTATGAAAAGTTAAGCATTCTTTATTGCATTTGTGTTGGTTCTTGTGAAAGCTAAGTATTTTTAAATTGAGCTTGTTCGCAAAAGCTGCGCGAAAACGTGAAAGCGGTGGTGAGTTATTGTTTTTTTTTTTTGCGATTTCACTTGTAAGCTAATGCCATGGCGAGTGTGGCTTTGATTTAAAACGGTAAGGTGTGGGGGGACTACATATTAAATAAATTGGTTGGTTGGGCCTACAATTAATTTGCGAAGTTTTTGTTAAAATGATTTTTACTACAATAAATTTGTATTTCATAAAATACTCGTCGAATATCTAAAACTACCAAATAAATATAGAAATTGTTAAGTTCTTATAATTATTTTGAGCATGAGAGTTTTAATACATATAATAGTTATAAAAAAAGTTTGCATATTTAAATAAAGATTTTTATTAAGACAATAAAGACGTAAAAAATGTTATACTAAATTCGTTTACTCAGACTTAATCCACTAATAGTTTACAAATAAATCAACCTCCAGTGAAATTCTTAAAGTTACCAAGTAACATTTTTATCTCCTAGTTCGAAATTTAAAACCCAAACCTCAAAACGAATAACTGGTATACCTAAAAATATGCAACGTTTCCAAGAGGACTTAATCTGTCCCAAATGATTCTGTTGTCAGATTTAATGTTGCATATTTTTTGGCTGATCATTCATTGGCATATTTATTCTATCATTATTTTAACACAATAATCTTCGGTAAGCGGTTAGCGTGAATCTGGAAATCCCCCAAAGACCTGTCAGCTGGAACTTTAACGACAAAAAAATGTAGAAACACCTGTACTAAGTGCTTTTGTGTGCGGCATTTATTTCTGGAACATTCAGGAAAGTATTGTCAAAGTATGTCCCGCGGCGTATATGGTGTGAATCCCCCCCAATACAGCAACCTATTTGTACCTTTTCTTTATTCCAAAGTTGGCATCTGGTATTTTGGAACAGTAAAACCTAATG